ATAATACATTGCGTGCTTATTTTTATAGATAACGACTCATATGTATCACTAAGATACCAGTAATCATTATAGATCGAAATATATACYCATTTATTTATGTTTTACTTCACTTCAAATGAGTAGCAATATTATTTAATAACAAGAATTACTTATAAATACAAATAATCAAAGAATTCTCTTTTTATCTTATCCCTAATTAATTTTCAAGTCCCGACCCGCACCTCTCGTAAATCTGTCCCTTTCCACATTTCCCGATCATCTTCTAATTACCTATATAACTCTTCTATTGTCTGTCTCATGCGAATAGCTAATAATCACACTTCCTTTTCTCTGTAATATATTTCTCGTTCTGCAGTAATCTTTAAACTTTATCTTTAATTATTAACTTTATTAAATCTTATAAATGTGTTCATGTATATATTATATATATTTATGTATATTTCTTGTTATTTTTGGACTTGCCCGTTATTATTATAAAATAAAATGAATAAATAAATAATATAAATATTTAGATTACCATTATTACAAAAACGATATTTTTTCTGGATAAATAATTGTTTCAAACAGGTTGTTCTTTTTTAGTATGCTATAATTTTTTTTCAACTGGTCAAAGCGTGCCATGCCCATTTCAACAACTACCAAATTAAAAGTTAACCTACATAGATATAATCTGTTTGAATAAATTGATCCAAGAAATTACAAATGATTTTAAAATAATATTTTGATTTAGTGGATATACGCTTATATCTAATGTATAATTTATTTTATTTTATTTTAACGAATTAAGCTTTTTTTCATAGATATTTACAATTTGTAACTAAAGAAACAGCAAGCTWAATATTAAATATGGTTAAATTAACATTGGWAAACTTGATATAAAATATAAATATAAGTAAACTTTACAGAACCACCGGGGATTGGACTTAGTAAATGTAAAAACCTCATATACTTGGAGATATTGAATGAACCAAATTGTACTAAACAACTTCAAGCAACTATCAGAGTTAGGCATAYCTAGCATTCRTTAATAGMGAATTACAGACATTACAGTGCACTCGGTATTCAGTACTYGCATAGTCGCATATAACATTTGATGTCATCAGCAAAACAGATAGCGTTGCATTATCATTATTCTTATAATATTATGCATCTTAGATTCATCTTAATKTTGAGAATAATGAATTAAATTAATACTCTGCGTCTCTGCAGCGTGCATAAGAATTTACATCAGTTGTATGTAGAAAGTTTAGATGGAATTTAAAATATATTAACCACATTATTTAAAGCTTAATTAGGATTAGACAACAAATTAGTGAGAATAAATTAAAGTTCTTCAAAAACCTGTAATAACGTGYAGTATATTAAAACCGGTTGAACGGTAACTGATGTGTTAAAATATTATGTTCTAAGTATAAAAATAGTTAAATTATTAAAACTAGAACGGAGATGTAAATAAACAATTTCATTTATATATTATTATAATCATGATGTGATTTTATGTGTTACAACCGAAAATCCATATGTTTTCTGAGAATTTATCGAACACTTTCTATCTAACATCGTAAACAATCAGTGGACAAGTTATAATATAGGTACACGCGCGTACCTAAAAAAATATTTTTATAAATCGATTGAGTCAATGAACCTTTAAAATGCGCCAGGTTGAGCTGGTATAACTTTAACACGCCTATAGTATATTATAAAAACAATGATTACGTATATTAGAAATCAACGACGAGGATTTGGAGTTTTTCTWAGAAAACCATTCTAGTTTATTATAATTAATAATATGATATGTATATTAATATGCTTGATATAAATCGTTAATCAAAACATAGATAGGTATATTCATATGGTTGTCATTTTCCGTAATAAAAAAAAAAAAACACGGATATTTATGGTGGTAATAAGATAGTACCTAATTTTCAGGTAGTATATTTATTAACAACTGGATTGCATACTTCCATAGTAGTATACAAAACACGAAGAGGATACCTACTGCTTATATCGCTTTTAGTAAAAAAGTAATTTTATATTACTAAATCTTGATAATATCATTAATATCTCTACTGAAGAATTGAAGACATCAAAAATCCACTAGAACTCAAATATGTGTCATTACATTATAACATATACAAATATACATTTATGCATTATACATCCCTTATTTCTTCACTCTTTTTTTTCCGAATTCAAGAATATACTATAAAAGTACGTATCTACATATTATATCCATTATACTRCGTTCCTATGTATAATAGTGTTCAACATAGCAGTTATTACGACTTACGAGCGTAATATCGAAAACATCCCGTTATGGTAAAATTACGAACACGTTCGATAATAATCATCATGGATAAAATGGTGACGACGGCTGTGCCCGATTATCTTATATACCTATGTACAAAAGACAAAACAGCATCTCATAGGTATGGGATCTATATGCAGCTGCAGGCTGTTGGCATATTATATTATGCACGTTGCRAATTTAAATAATGTACGAGTATCTACATGTGCTGAAATATTGAATAATATACTGTTCAGTGGGAAAATGTGATTCTCCTGTATTTTATTATCTCATGTTCAGTGTTTTGTTTTTTATCGTCCTAACGTCGTTCCAGCCCCTTATCCTTAGTTATTTCATGTTGTGCCTCACAACGTTTGTCACTTGTCATGAAGAAAACGATCTACTTGATCGTTCAGTCGTTGTGAATACCTCTGCTATTAGCTGCAAATGCCCATACTTATTTCTTTCCCTATATTTTTGTRAAACGTTCAACTATCGATGTTACTCTCTTTATATACTCTTCAGGTATTATATTATAATTGTAAAGATTTYTCATTATTATTGTTATAGAGCTATATAGGGTCACATTACACTAAAAAACTTTATAATATAATACACTATCAACATGTTTAAATATGCAGTAAAAAAATATAATTAAAAACATAGTTAATTATACATAAAAATAATATGGACAGCAATCTTCATTATATTTTTGCATTGCATGTCTTAATTATTATTATTGCTTAATATACATTGTGGGGTATAGATATGATACGCGATTCATATAATTTATTAAAATAGTATATTTTCTATAAATCTAGGTACGATTATCTAGTCTATAAAAATATATTGTTAGTTAAATATAAAGCCAAATATTTTTTATTAAGAATGCACTATAATCAGGTGTTTGAGAGTTAATTATAATACCTATTCTGTTTCCTCATTTTAAAGAAAAATTAAATATAATATATGTAATAAATAAAAAATTATGCAAAATATTATTATTCTTATGGATTAACAAGAGTAAAATATGCAAAAAAAAATTTGCCTAGGTACTATAAACTAAGATTATGAAACATTCAAAAACATTAATGTATTTCTACATCACATCTCTGAGTGTTCTTTGTTACGAATTCGTTATTTAAGTTATTTTATAAAAACCATCGCTTTGGGTGGATAATAAAATATAAATACCTAATAATAAAAAAATCTAATATAYATTGTATACATAATAAAGGTCATAATGTTTATATAATAAGGTTCTCAGACGTCCTGATTTTGAGTCATTAAGTTTAAGTATTTAAGTTTTTAAGTGTCCTGATATTTCTTAATACCGGTAGTAATTGAAAACAGAAAAAAAAGACCTGCAGACAAAATTTAGAATTTTAACTTAGGTAGTCATAACTTGCTTTAAAATTAAAATATAAAAAACTTRACCTTACCCATGTGGAGACCCGAATATTCTTATCTTTAAATTAAGAGCAAAGACTATTCTGAACTTGTTATACTATGCGTAACGYGTAAGTAAGGCAGAGATAATAAATTCAGTTATGACTTCATATTTTCTAAAATTTCTTCGATATAATCACTATTAAATTACTATCTMAAATTTAAAATATGAGAAATCGTAATGTTTTGTAAGTTAAATCTATTTTACTTTTTCTCGTGATGAATATTTTTGTTAAGCGCATCTTATTACTGTAAAAAATTAGTTAGATAAGAATATTATGTATATCTGCGCAGTCATGTTTAAATTCAAATTTGATAGAATATTTAAAATTATACCAATATGACTATATTATGATTTATCACTATATACTATATAACTATAAGCACAGTAAACAAAATATAATATCTAATAAGTTATACGATTGGTACACAGACGTATATGTATATATATATATATACCAATGTCCAATATAAATATAGGCGATTTATATATATTATAATAAAATGATAAACAATTTTTTTCTCCTGGGGTCGACATATCAGTAATGTGTCTCAAAAGATCGTCTTAAATGTAAAAATATCGTTTATTTTTAAACCTGATCATCATCTGCAACATTTAAGCACCTTGCAATATAATATGCATCATATATACATATATTATATATTATATATGCATAGTGCGCAGTGACATCATGGATGAACAAATAAATCAGTTTTGTATATATACACTATACATCAAGCCACACTGAATTTAATTGTATAGGTATATATAATATTTAATAAATAATATCAATAGTGGTATCATGCTGTAGTACGCGATTTAACGTACGAGATTCACATAATAATAATAATAATATAAAACATCACTGCGGGGACGACCGAAAAAATGAGTTTAAAAAAGTATAAAACGCGTATGGCTGTACCGCGGTTTCGGCGATTCACACACTCACACAATCGCGTAGTGCCGTTGATTCGACGTGCGTGTGCGTGTTTGTGTRCGTGTGTGCATGTGTGTGTGCGCGCGTGTGACCTGAAGCYGAAGCAGCAGCTGAGAGATTTAACGGAACCCGTCGGTTGTGTGAGTACAAGCGCCGCGWGAATGCGAGTGCGTGCGTGCGTCGGCGGTGGTTCTACCGAGTCGGCGGCGGTGGAATTAGGTCTTTGGGTAACGACGATTGGTCGTCAGGTGGGAGGCGGATGGACTCGCGGCGGGTTTTCACGTGGCGGCGGCGGCGGCCTCCGCGCCACCGGTCGAGTTGAGTTACCTGCGTGCGTGCAGTGTGTGATTTACGGTCTCGCCGGTCGCCAACCTGCAACCGCCGTCGTCGTGGTCGTCGTCGTCGTCGTCCGGGTCCGCGTGGTCCGAGTGTGTGCGCGCTCGCCGTGTGTCCAACAATTTGCGCGGAACCTTTTTTCTCGTCTGCTCATCAAGTGCGTACTTTGCGAAGRACGCGGCACGTAGTATAATATCATAAATATATACTTACACATTACGATAGTGTCGGGCACGGCGTAAGATAATAAATATTTTTTTCAAATTTTATTCTACCCGAGTTTTGGATTACACTAGCCGCCGTGTCTGAAACGCACGCACCATCTCCTGGTTCACGGTATGTACTTTATATTATATCAGAATTTATATTATTATTTTACTTATAACAACGTACTGTTTCTATCTGGTATATTCACACTCGTGAAAACATCTTTATTATTTCAAAAGTCCAAAAACGACCACCGTTAAAGTCTCTAAGGATTTTACCCATCGTTAAAGTCTACGGAGACATTTTCTTTAAGCTGTTGGCCAAGTTTATTTTCCGATTTTATAGAATTGTCTTCTACAGAATAATATTATTATAATAGTTACCTATCAACAAGTGTGGTTTTATTCTATCGGTATAGTTATATCATATATTCCTATAGGTAATATAGTTTTRGTATGCGACCATATAGTTTATTATGATCATAATTTAAACGCGTGACTGTCACAAAATAATAATACAACTGCAGCACGTATAGGTACCCACGTACCTGTACACGTATAGGTCCCTATATGATTAATAATATTATTGCATATATTTTTCTCACCTCTGGCGTCGGCTTATATTATACCTAAATTTCAACGTCTTACAATACCTACATGTTTTTCGGAAAACACTTATATTAAATGCGTCGTGACAAAAAAATTCATGTCCGTCGCCGATAGACATATACTTATGTGGCTATGTATAATATTATATACCTATTACCTGCATATATTATATAGATAGCTGTGCTGCCATTCTCCTTCTCAGAAGCAATGTTTTGGACTCCTTCAAATTATTAGTTGTATAGCCAGTGGCGGCCCCTTAACCATAATGATACTAATGACAGCGTCAATAAACGAAACCTGTTACACTCCATGGACTTGTCTCCATACACTGCGATGTGTGTGATGATGATAATAATAATAATAATAATAATAATAATAATAATAATAATTTGTATTATTATTGCTATGCAGTTTTCGGCCAATTCTTTATTTTGCTCTTTATTTAGATCGCGCCGTTTTAATGACCGTGTTCTTGCGGCTGTCATTGACGGACGGCCAATATTTGTAATACGCGCCAAACTGGAAGTCACGATTCTTACGTTTCGTGCGAACACCACTTTTAAGTCGTATATAATATGACACGMCATATTATTTTTATATTATATTATCATGTTTCTAGTCGTGGTGGTGATGTACGCAGTTGTATAGGTATTAGGTATTATATTATGACATACACCAAGCAGACTTTTAACGAGGTATATATGTATGTATGTGTGTGTGTGTGTGTGTGTAAGCGGTATGGTATAGAAGGTCTTGTTATCATGCAGCTACACACTTCCGGGACCACGGCGGAAGCTAATAAGCAATAACGTACGAAAGGTATTTTCTCTCCATAAAAAGGCTTCGATCATTATAATGTTATGCGCGCTTCAGTGTTATTTTTTTGTCTTTTTTACGATTGTCTATATTGTCTGTTTTTTTTCTTGCGTATCGTTTAATATAGGTACCTACTACCAGTACTATCTTTACCTTATACCAACGCCTACACGAGCTGTAGTATGTGGACAATGTTCATAAGAAACACTACGCATATGCACGCATAAGAATATCAACGACTTTTTTACGATCTCAAGAAATCATAATACGCATTATATATTATAACGTATCTAACCACTGTTGCAGGATATGTACTCTCGGATGCTGAGCGTGCTATGTACTCTTGTATTCAGTGTGTGTGTGTGTGTGTGAGTGGATCCAGGTTAGAGCCGAATGTGCTACCCCTCGGGGCACCGGTTTCTACGCACCTTTATAACCTCGTCGGAATTTCTTTCTCCGCCGCGGTCTCGTTTATATATGTGGGTATACGACACTCTTCGTCGAGCCTCATCTTGTATAAATCATTGTTGTGTTTTTTAAGTCGTATTCGGACATTAGTTTTTAATGACTCCGCGGTTTATATTTAATTCATATATATGTATTATGTATTATTATATTCCCTGTGTAACTGTATCTATAATAAACGAGTAGGTATAGCTATGATGCCATAAATAAAAAATAACGAATCGAGTATAATATATATAATATTATATATGGGGGTACCTACCAGACACTAGACTTTTCTCGTCGCTTACTTGTCAACCTTTTTGATTACGCTGCTACTGCAGCTCTATAGCTGCCGGACCGACAAAATTATTATTGACAATACAACATATTTAACGACGTCGCGTCGTCTGCAATTCTGATAACCATCGCGCATTACCATATAATTATAACCTATTTTTATAGTATTTTAATGTTAATTTCATTTTATAGTAAAAATTATCCTACAAATGAGAATATTAGGAATTTAATTTAGTTACATATAAAGTATATTATTACTGTGTTGTCAGAGGGTAGGTTAGTGCGAGCACATCACACTGTGCAAGAATATTAATACATAATATAATATAATACATATTTATGTAATAAATTGCCCCCAGATCACAAACATAGTTTGATCGAATCCAATAGTACAAAATACATTTTCGTAATATTAATAGGTTAGGTTAAGTGACTTTGGTTATCTAGTCGTACACTATTTCTACTGTGGCAAACGCTAAACATTTTTATTTACCAGTTTAAATATTTTATTTGATGCAATTTATTAAATAWATAATTCGTATTGTTTTCAATTCAATATAAGTACTAGATAACATTTTGRTAAATTAAGACATAATATTATATACAGTAGGGGAAATTTCATCGTACGCTTAGCCGATTTAAGTTTTTGTATGGTAAAAGAAACAAGTTATTGTTATTATACATAAGTAAAAACTATTCGCCGTGTGTTGCATAATTAATGTAATAATAATTATTGTAGACATAATAACGGGTCTGAGCTGAAGATTATCGCTAATTTCCGAAGTGAGTTTATGCACGTAATATAGTACTGGAATTGAATATGTGAATATATATATGTGTATAATTAATATATCCATACATAGTAAAATTTATTATCGCACGTATGTATTATAACTACTACGAAAGTCTGTTTTCGGCTAAAACCGATCGGCTTTGTCGGAGAAATTCGACCCCTGACACTATATAAGAATTTATTCGTGCCTCCGAGGTCGTTGCCATTTTTTTTTCACTYTATACTCCGAACGAAATCTCTATATGACCGCYGGCGCAAATAAAACGCYGTGATATAGAAATCACATAAGTGTACAATTTTTACACACACGCACAAACATGTGTGTACATGCATACACGCTAACGCGTGCGCGCTCATACATACAAATAAAGACACATTTTAAAAATAGCAAGTGCTTAAATTTTTACGTGTAATGGATCCCCCGCGAGTCATTAGATCTGACAACGTTGGAGTGCACTTAATGTCTGACTAGGTACGAAACGCATGTAAAGATCATGAACGAAAAATCAGTATAATAATGATAATGATGGTTTTTCTCCTTTTAGTTTCTCTCTTTTTTTTCGAACACATTTGACCTAGAAACTTCCTTTTTTTTCTTCTATACCCACTAATATATATGTATTTATAATGCTTACATCGCCAAATTGGAGTARTAGTGTTGTACTGTGATCGAACTTGTTCTTTATATAATATTTTTTAATAATAAGTACCAAACCTAACCAACCTAAAGTTTTTTTTTTATTTGTGTATGCATGAACTATGATGTTATATAATAGTATAAGGTGTATACAATTACTTAATAGTACTTACCTATTATGAAGAACGACAAGAGACATCTAAGTTGGTTAAGGCGTTGTGGATATAATATATATATATATATGTATATGTATAGATATGCACGAGTAGTTATAGTGAATACTGTGTATAGTACTCATTTTTAAAAAGAATATACAACTGATCCTAAAAGTGTATTTAATTTAAGAAATATAATAGGTTTTATAATATTTTAATATATTAATATCTTATATGGAGAGGAAGACTCTATAGAGGGGGTCCACCATACAGTCGAATAAGTGATAGGTACACGTAAAATATATTATGTATGATATTGATTTGAATCCATAGAAAGTCGTCTGTATAGTAATAATTTTATTGCACAGTTTTTATAATAAACAATAAATAATACGAATGTCTGTCGTCATGGGTGGATCCATTGCCGAAACGGCGATGGACTGTATGCGTATACCTGCGTATACCTACTATCTATGGGAGGACACACTGGACATTGCTTTAATAGTATACACACATATACACTCCACACGATTTCACCCTGTGCTAAAAAACTCACGCATGGTCTATAATAATATAATAATAATAATCGTTTTTATCCTCCGCATTGCTCGTCGTTCTAATATCGTGCAGGCCGCAGTCGGTTTTCTAGAGTAGGTATACAGAGTATATTATATATACACATACAAAATTGTAACAATATACATCTGTATATACGCGAAGACACAGCGGACGTACACAATACACAATAAGATGTAGGTATATCGTATATATGCTCTTAGAGTCGGTTTTCTACCATTATGCTCGGTTCGTCCGTATAGTGCGCGTGGGATGTGTGCGACTCATCCCGCAGAGTTTACGTGTGTGTATGTGTGTGTTATTTTCTCATATATATATATATAAGTACATGTGAGACTGTCTCGAGTCGTGATCCGCGCTCGCCGCAATGTATTCCACCCGCAATGCTCGTGAATAACAATATACAATATAATATGATAATATATAAAATAATTCGCCCGGACCAATTTGCCGAGTTCCGTGTGCGAATCTCCAAGACTATATGATATATATATACAAAAACCACACGGCTATATTATTATATGAATCACCTCTCGTCCGATCAAAAAAAAAACTGGATCGTCACGTTTCGCTCGCGACCGAATCGGGACCGAGCTGATGAATGGCGGAGATTTCACGATATTATGAAACTGCACATCAACTGCAAGTGCAGGAAGTACCTAACTTTTTTCGGAATCAAAAATATTTAATAATCTCTATAAATCTCTTCACACGAATCCGAGGGTAGCGGGGGCATCGTCGGGTTTAAAATGCAGACAATAAATAGGTTTATCAGTGCCTGATTCAGGCCAGTTTGAGTT